ATAGGTAACAAGTGGAAGAAGTAGGATTGCTTTCACTCTGATTCTAGACAATATTTGCAAAGTGCCCTGGTATATAGTGGGTACTTAATAAATGCCTGTTTCCTTGTTTCTCCCTGTTTCTACTGCAAAATAAGACAAATCATTTTATAACAACTTAATCTGTATCACATGATTATGTTTTTGGGGGCTTTGATTTAACTTTCAAGATATTCAGATCCATATGCTAATAAAGCCAATGTATTTTGCTTATCAATATAGATGAATCAATCAACATATATTTATTAAGATAACCAATTTGTGATTTTCATGATCTGAAGTGCCACCCTTGAAGAGATAGAGAACATTATGAAACACAAAATGAATAATTTTGATTACATTAAATTGAAAAGTATTTGCAGAAGGGGTGGAGCCAAGATGGCGGAGTAAAAGCAGTGACTTGATTGAGCTGTCCCCCAAAACCCCTCCAAATACCTATAAAAAATGGCTTTAAACAAATTCTAAAGCAGCAGAACCCACAAAAAGACAGAGTGAAACAAATTTCCAGAGCAAGACAACCTGAATGGTTGATCGGAAAGGTATATCGCGCTGGGCTAGGAGACGAACACAGTTTGGCATGGGCACACAGGCCGCAGCAAACCTGGAGCAGGCCTCAGAGGACTGAATCGCAGGCAGCTGTGGTGGTTTACAGACTTCTCAACCCACAACCGCCAAAGATAACTTAGAAGGTCAGTGGGAAAAGTCTGTGTCTGTGGTGAAAGAGAGAAACGCTGTGGAGTTCCAGCCTCATTCCCGGAGCATGGCCCCTGGGCAGCGACTGCCTCCTGAGCTTCCGGCCCACAGACTGAGGGGAAATCGAGTGGCTGATCAGAGGGGGATTGCAGGGATCTCTCTGCCATTGCAGGATTCTCTTGCTTTGCACATGATTGGATCTGGGTCACAGTTCTGGGTGGCAATCCTGGGGCGAGGAGGAGCATGGTGGAGCTTCTAGTGGCAGTGAAGAGGAAATCCTCCTCACAGTTCCAAGACAGAAAAGAGTGCTTGTGGTCACTCATACACCAGAGCACAAGCCAGGAAAGGAGTAAACACCTCACCTTTGCTCAACCTTGGAAGAACTAAAATATTTACTGGTCCTTAGAAATATCTCTGAAAACATATGCACAAAACCCCTGAAACTTGGGACAGTACATTCTCCACAGTGGAAACAGACCCCAATCTTAACAAAGAGTTTATAACTCAAGTAATTGCCTGGGATCATGAGAAAGCAGCCCAAAAAGAGTCAGACTATATTATCTTACTTTGGTGACAAAGAAGATCAAAACAAACAGAAGAAGACAACAAAGACAAAGCTCCTACATCCAAAATCTCCAAGAAAAATATGAATCAGTCTCAGGAAGAGCTCAAAAAGGATTTTGAGAAGCAAGTAAGAGAAGTAGAGGAAAAATTGAGAGTGATGCAGGAAAATCATGAAAGACAAGTCAGCAGCTTGCTAAAGGAGACTCAAAAAAATACAGAAGAAAATAACACCTTAAAAAATAGACTAACTCAAATGGCAAAAGAGGTCCAAAAAGCCAATGAGGAAAAGAATGCCCTAAAAAGCAAAATTGGCCAAATGGAAAAGGAAGCCCAAAAGATTACTGAAGAAAATACTTCCTTAAAAATTAGAATGGAGCAAATGGAAGCTAGTGACTTTATGAGAAATCAAGGCACTGTAAAATTAATCTAAAAGAATGAAAAAATAGAAGAGAATGTGAAATATCTCACTGGAAAAACAACTGCCCTGGAAAATAGATCCAGGAGAGAGAATTTTAAAGTTATTGGACTATCTGAAAGCCATGATCAAAAATAGAGCCTCGACATCATCTTTCAAGAAATTATCAAGGAAAGCCGCCCTGATATTTTAGAACCAGAGGGCAAAATAGAAATGGAAAGAATCTACCAATCACCTCCTGAAAGAGATCCCCAAAGGAAAACTCCTAGGGAATATTGTAAGCAAATTCCAGAATTCCCAGGTCAAGGAGAAAATATTGCAAGCAGCCAGAAAGAAACAATTCAAGCATTGTGGAAACACAATCAGGATAACACAAGATTTAGCAGCTTCTACATTAAGAGACCGCAGGGCTTGGAATAGAATATTCCAGAGGGCAAAGGAGATAGGATTACAACCAAGAATTACCTACCCAGAAAAACTGAGTATAATCCTTCAGAGTAAAAAATGGTCATTCAATGAAATAGGGGACTTTCAACCATTCTTGATGAAAAGACTGGAGCTGAATAGAAAATTTGACTTTCAAATACAAGGCTCAAGTGACACATGAAGAGGTAAACAGGAAAGAGAAATCATGAAAGACTTATTAAGGTTGAACTGTTTACATTTCTGCATGGAAAGATGATATTTGAAACTCATGAGTCCTTTGTCAGTATTAGGCCAGTGGGAGGGGAAAAAAATATATGCACGTGTAGATATATAGATGGAGGGCACAGGGTAAGTTGAAGATGAAGGGGTGATATCTTGAAAATAAAATTAAGGGGTGAGAGAGGATTATACTGGGAGAAGGAGAAAGGAAAAAATGTAGCATGGGGTAAATTATCTCACAGGAAACAGACAAGAAAAGGCTTTTACAGTGGAGGGGAAGTGGGGGAAGGTGAGAGGGAATGATTGAATCTTTTTCTTATAGGATTTGGCTTAAGGAGGGAATAACACACACACTCAATTGGGTACGGAAATCTATCTTACCCTACAGGAAAATAAAGGGGGAAGGGGACAAGACAGCAAGGGGATGATAGAGGGGAGGGCAGAATGGGGGAGGGGATAAACAGAAGCAAACACTTCTGAGGAGGGACAGGGTCAAAAGACAGAATAGAATGAATGGGGGGTAGGATAGGATGAAGGGAAATATACTTAGTTTTTCACAACATGACTACTATGGAAGTGTTTTGCATGACTACACATCTATAACCTGTATTGAGTTGCTTGCCTTTTCAATGAGGGTGTGTGGGGAGTAAGGAAGGGAGAAAATTTGTAACCCAAAGTTTTAAAAATACATGTTAAAAGAAAAAGGAAAAAAAAGAAAAAACCAACATTGCTGTTATTATTGAAAAAAAAGAAAAAGAGAGAAAAAACATTCCTTACAACAAACATGCATAGTTGAGCAAAAAAATCCCTTGTTGGTTATGTGCAACAATGTTCATGGCTCATTCTGCATCCTAAATCCATCCATCACCTCTCTTCCTGGGGATAGAAAGTATGTTTCATCATAAGTCCTTTGGAATCATGGATAGCCATTGTATTGGTCATAGTTCTTGCAGCTTTCAAAGTTGTTTGTCTTTACATTGTTCTTATATAAACATAAATAAATTGTTAAAAAGAAAAGAAAAGCATTTGCACAAACAAAGCCAATGCAACCAAGATTAGAAGGGAAACAGAAAGCCAAAAAACAATTTTTTACAATGGCTCTGATAAAGGCCTCATTTCTAAAATATATAGAGAACTAATTAAAATTTATAAGCGTACAAGTCGTTCCCTTAATTGATAAATGGTCAAAGGATATAAACAGGTAGTTTTCAGATGAAGAAATCAAAGCTACCTACAGTCATATGAAGATCTGTTCTAAATCAGTACTGATTAGAGAAATGCAAATTAAAACAGCTCTGAAGTACCACCTCACATCCATCATATTGGCTAATATGACAAAAAAGGAAAATGACAAATGTTGGAGGGGATGTGGGAAAACTGGGGCACTAATGAATGGTTAGTAGAGTTGTGAATTGATCCAAACATTCTGAAGAGCAGTTTCAAACTATGCCCAAAGCAATAAAACTCTACATACACTCTGATGCAACAATACCTCTACTAAGTTTGTATCACAAAGTGATCAAAAAAGGTGAAAAGAATCTAAGTGCACAAAAATATTTATAACAGCTATTTTGTGGTGGCTGAGAACTGGAAATTGAGGGGATATCCATCAACTGGAAAATGGCTGAACAAGTTGTGTCATATGATTGTGGTGGAATTGTGGTATGAAAAACGATGAGCAGGCTGATTTTAGAAAAAAACCTGGAAAGATTTACGTGAACTGATACAGAGTGAAGTGAGCAGAACTAGGAGAACATTGCACATGATAACAGTAATATTATACGATGATCAACTGTGAAAAACAGTCCCAAAGTACTCATGATGAAAAATGATATCCACCTCGAGAAAGAACTGACTAACCGAGTACAAATTGAAGTATAATTTTCTCAATTTATTTTTCTTGCCCTTTTGTAACAAAACTAATATGGAAATTAAAAAATGATGTAATTTCCCTTCCCTAGCATATTCAGGAAGTATTTGCTGGATTATCCATTTCATATATTTAATACTTGATGAGCATATTTTGATTACAAGTACCTTGCATTACATTTTGGAAGTGGAATTTTCTTTGTAGATGATAATGCATCTGTACTGGAAGTCTTGATCTTCGACTCCAATAATTTCTATTCATTTCACATACTTGAACTACATTTACATATGGGTTTGTATGTGTGTATGTATGAATATACAGGTATTCACACATATATCCTAATCGATGAAAATAATGAATCCCACAAAGTAGTCACATGTATTTCAATATGTACTATTTAAAGTTATAATTACATAAAATAAGGTGATTGCTTCCAGTCCAATGGAAATATGCCATGCAAATTTGAATAATGTGACCACTACACAGAATTCGTTTGTGCACTAATATTGGTACTGGGCTATACAAATTAGTTCTTTTTCCAGAAAAGGCAAAGGAAACACTTCAATAAAAACCTGCAGGAGACATAATTTGATGTAGAAATAAGGTAGAACTTTTTAGCATTGAGTTCTATGATATTGAAGTGCATAATCTGTTCCTTTTGGGCAAGTGTAACAGTGAAGGAAAAATCACATTAAAATTTTTTTTAAAACAACATAAAGTAGGAAACATTTATATGCTTTACTGAACTTTACCTGAAGCCATTTAATTTTTGTGTAGGTCATGATTTTTGTTCTGTGAGACATAACTGCATGGAGAATTCAGTCTGCCAGAATCTAAATGACAGGGCAGTCTGTATTTGTCAAGATGGTTTTCGAGCCCTTCGAGAGGACAATGCCTACTGTGAAGGTAATACTTTTCACTTTCAAGTAATCAAAGGCGATTATTTTATCTTTTGTAATTGCCTCTGTAATTGTTTGGTTAAATCTCTTACCAATAAATGTGAGAATTACATGATTTGTTTCTCTTATAATTTTTAAAACTAATATGATCTTTGATATTAAGTTCATGTATTTATTTGCAATGTATTATGGAATATGTTGTAAGGTGTTAAACCTAATTTTGTAAGACTGCTTTCAAGTTTTCCCAACAATTTTTATTAAATAGGCAGTTTTTTCACAGGTAATTTTGTTTTCTACTTTATCAAACACTGAGCTATTGAGTTCTGTTGTTTCTAAATCTCACTTTTCTAGTTTGTTCTATTGATCTGTCTCTCTATTCTTTAACCATTATCAGGTGGTTTTGATAACTGCTGCTCTGTAATACAGTTTGAAATATGGAATTGATATTCCTTCTTCACAACTACTTTTCATCATTACCTTCACATTCCAGATCTTTTGTTTTTCCAAATGAATTTTGTTATTATTTAATCAAATTCTGTAAAGTATACCTTTGTTAATTTGGTTAGTATGAAATTTAAAAAGTGTAAATTAATTTTGATAGTTTTGTCATTTTTATGATATTGGCACAGCCAATAGAAGGAAAACCTAACCTCAAGCTGTTACTTATTTCTTTAAGGAGCACTTTTTAATTGAGTTTATAAAAGCCCTTTGTGTGCTTTGGGAAGCTGATCCCCAAATATTCATTTTGCAGTTATTTGGAATGGGGTTTCCTGGTCTTTTATTGTTGCTTGTATTTTGTAACTATTATATAGAAATGTTGTTGGTTTTAAGACCTTGTTGTATATATTAAAACTTTCCTGAAGCTATTGTCTCAATATTATTGCTGATTCCATAGGATTTTCCAACTAATCCATATCATCAGTAAATAGGGATAGTTTTATCTCTTCTTTATCTGTCTTTATTCCTTTAATTCTTTTCTTTTGTATTATCGCTGTTGCAAACATTTTCAGAACTATATCAAATAATAGGGGGGAGAATGAGAATCCTTGTTTCACTTCTGCATTTATTGGGAAAAGTTATAAACTTTCTCCATTACATATGATGCTTGCTTTCAGTTTTGGGTAGATTTTTAATATTAAAAAAAGATCACTCTATGCCTATACTTGTAGGGCTTTTAGCATAAATGAGTGCTGTACTTTGTCAAATGCCTTTTCTGAATATGTTGAGATGATCATGTGTTTTTGGATTTTAATATGATTAATTATGTTGATTATTTTCCTAATGTTGAATTATCCTTGCATCTCTGATATAAATTAACCTGATCCTAATGAAGTATTTCTTGGATAAAGCTCTATAGTGTGTTGGATAGCATTTTATTTAAAATTTTTGAGTCAGTGTTCAGATAGTGGTATATAGTTTTCCTTCTGTGTTTTATCTTTGCCTGTTTAGATATTAGGACTGTGTTTGCCTTCTAAAAAGGATTCTGGTAGGGTGCTTTCTTTCTCAATTTTTGAGACTAATGTGATATATGAATATGAACTGTTCTTTAAATTTGGATTCTCTTGTGAATCAATCCATCAGGACCAGGATGTTTTTGTTAGTTCTTTTGCATGTAGATCAATTTCATTTTCTGATATTGGGTTATTTAAGATCTCTGTCTGATCTTCTGATAGTTTGAATATTTTATGTTTTTCCTCTTATAGGTCCTCCCCATCTCACATCTAGAATATTGAAATAACCCTTCTGGTTGGTCTCTCTTCCTTAAGTTTCTCTCCACTTCAATCCATCTTACTTTTAAGTTTCAAAGTGATATAGATCCAAACTTATATTCTGTAGATATATGTTTGACTATGTCAGCCTTCTAATCAATAGACTCTTGTGATTCCCTCTTTATAGAATCAAATATGAAATTCTTTCTTTGATTTTTAAAGCCCTTCACAAGCTGGTCTCTACCTACCTTTCTAATCTTCTTTCTTTCTCAGTACATCACATACATTTTTATTAGTGAGAAAGGTCAGCAAGCATTGGACAGTGGTTAAACTAGGCATAATAGGATAAAGTCATTTGAACAGGCTATAGCAGTAAGGTTTAGATTATTTGTTATAATTAACTGTATATGCTCTGTTAAAAAAAAAAGTTAAATGAAATTTGGTAAATAGTACAGCAGATGCTAGAAACCTAAAACTGTTTGAGAGCACAGTTTGAAAACAGTAAATTTCAAAAGACTGGTAATATTTGGAATGTAATCAAAATGTGAAAAGATTGTCAATACTGTATTTAAATGACAAATAATCTAAACCATACTGCTGTAGCCTATTCAAATGACTTCACCCTATCATGCCTATGTGAAGTACTGAGAAAGCCCCTCCCTTTTTGCAGATGCTCCTTTGGAGTTTGGGACAAAAGGTAAAAGTGACTGTGCCCCCTCCAAACAAAAGGCTTTTATGTTCCATAGCAAAAGACTGTTTTTTGTGGTAGTATGCTTACCATCTCCAGGTCAAAAGACTGTCCATTAATTCCTAAAGAATTCCTTCTTGGAAGGAACCATGAAAAATGTAACTGGAAACATGACATGTAAATTCCAACATATGTTTAAAAAGCCAGCTGTACTTACTGTTGCATACCTTTACTTGTTACTTCCTACCTCACTGGCCACACATATTCATTTGAGTTGTTTTTTTTTTAACATGGTCAAAAATATTTTTTGGTTTTTATTTTTTTAAATATTTTTAAAAATAAACTTTTACTGATATATTTTGTTTTTACATGAACTAAATTTGTACTTATATTCTCCCTTTTTCCCTCCCTGGAGTGCTATTCCATATAACAAAAAATACATTTAAAAGGGGGGAGGAGTAAAAGAGGAAGAAGAGAAAAAAATTAGTCAAAGCTATCAATACAGTAAAAAAAGAGAAAATACAGGCAATATTTTATCTGTGGACTTCCCATCTCTTCAGAAAAATGAGGGAAGATGTGTTCTGATATTTCCTTTTTGGGATCATGTTCTTTCATCATATTCATAGCTTCTTATGGCACAGTATTATTCTATTCCATTTATGTTCCATAATTTGTTTAGCTATTCCCCAATTGATAGACATTTATTTTGTATCTAGCTCTTTTATACCACCAAAAATGCTGCTGTAAATACGTTACTGTATACAGCAATTGTTTTTTATCAATGACTTCCTTGAGATATATGCCTAGTGGTGGAATCTTAATGAGTGTCTGGTCCTGGGACTGGAACCCTAGCGAATGTTTGATGAGCCTTCCTCTTCAAGTTTATGATGACTTGGAATGGAAGGACCTGAGTTCAAACCTGGCCTCAGACACTTACTACCCATGTGACCCTGGACAAATTGCTTAACTTCTGTTTGCCTCAGTTTTATCATTTTGCCTGTCTCTCAGGATTGTTCTACCAAATAAGATAATATTTGTAAAGTGCTTAGCACATTGCCTTGTACATAGTAAGCACTTTATAAATGCAAATTCCTTTCCTTTCATATTTCCTGTCTGTATAGTGCTCAGTGAAGAAAAGGTCTTTTGGATGTTCTCTTTCACTATCTCTTTCACTGTCTCTCTGTCACTCTCTGTGTCTTTTTTAAAGTTTTTATTTAATTTTAATTTGTGGAATAAAATTTTCATAATGTATATATAAAAAAGATGATTGCACTTGAAATTGAAAATCTATTATTTATACCTTGATATTCCTTTAAATATGTAATATAGTTATCATGTAAATTTCTTTTTTTCCTTCAGTTTTGAAAAGTGAATTCACTTTTAAAAGACATATCAAGGATAACTTAAAAATAGGGAATGTGATACATTTACCTACTTAGTCTCAATTGTTAGCACATTATATTTTTAAGGTATGTAGTTTATAACAAATAGTTTCATCTCATTTCTTCATAAATGTTCAGAAAAAAATAAACAGTACTTCCCAATCATATATGAAAAAATTTTGATTCACAGTCTCTAGGTTTTATTTAAGAATAAGAAATTATGTCTCCCCTGGGGCATTATAAGCACCACAAGAGAAATGACTATTTCTCCACCCCAGAGATGGCTACAATTAGAAACAAATATGTATATGTGTGTGTGTGTGTATCTATCTATCTATCTATCCATGTATATCCATATATAGAGATATAAATATACACACACAAACATATATACATATATATGTATTAAATCATGCTATACATACTTCTATTTATCAATTTTTTCTCTGGATGAGAATAGTGTCTTCCTTCATCTGTCCCTTGTAGTTAATTTGGGTATTTGTAACAGTCAAAATGATGTATCCTTAAAACAATATTGCTCTTACTATATACAATGTTCTCTTGGTTCTGCTCTTGCTTTTCATTATTTCGTGTATGTCTATCCATGTTTTTCTAAGATCATTGAGCTCATTATTTCTTCCAGCACAGTAGTATTCCATCACAGTCATATACCACAACTTGTTTAGCCATTCCCCAATTGATGGACAAGATGTAAGGACAAGTCTTTTAGCTATAGAGGGTGGAGAGGTTGCCTCCTTCAGCTGACCTGAGGTAGGCATGTGGCATACTTGACAAAATTGTCTCCTTTTCTTTAGTACTGAGAGATTGCTACATCTACAAAAGTCCTTACCAAAGTTTGATTGGCCCCTGAGTCCACCATGAAGCTAGTCCCAGACATAGGCTTGCTTCATTGTCTATTTAATTACTGGCCATCCATTAGAGAGAAGGACACTCTTCCCTACCATCCACATATGCCTCCAGAACTTAGATTCATTTTTATATCTCATGTTCAGGAGGAAGGAAAAGATAATTTCTGTTTGAACCTTTTGTATTCACTCTCATTTCTATCTTAGCAGCCTTTTATTTATAACACTAAATGGACAGGAAACAGAGAATACATGAACATGCTCTGAAATAGAAAGTGAGGCCCTTCCATTCCATGCCATCACAAGCTCACCAAATAGTCACGTGAGTTCCCTGTTTGTGCTCCCAGGACTGGACTCTCATTGGCCAAACAGCTCTCACCCTTCAGGCCCATTACATTCGCAATAAGAGTTGATCCTCTAAGAATGGGAGAAAGGAGGGATACATTGAAAATTCAGGTGATATAAAAACAAAAAAGTATAAAAATATGCTTTAAAGAGTCTTCTCTCTTTTCACAATTTTTCTTAGGGACTTGAAAATAGAGGAATGCTATGCAACCTGAAAGGCTCAGTAAAAGTCTTATTTCTGTACATAATCTTCCCTTAGAGTTCTATTGCTACCCCTACTTTTGAAAAAAAAAGTTATTAACAGACTTTTAAAGGCAGTTGCTCTAATTTGTAGTGAACATCAAATGCTTATTCTCCCCTCATTGTATCTCTTCATATAAAACAAAATATATCCAGTGTATCAAAAATAGCATCTTAGTGCTGACGAAGCTGTAATAGCCTCTTTCATCAAAATATAGATAGATGAAATCACTTTTCAAAAGTTAGTAAGGATTAATGTTAATGTAGTCCTCTTTGTAATCACATAAAGAGTTGTTTGCAGAAATCAAATTCTGCTCCTGTATTTTGAACATCACTCATTTTAAAAATAGAAAATACTTTGAAATTTTATGCTATTCAAGTAACTTTTCCCCTCAAAATATTAGAAAAGCTCTAATAAAGAGTTCCTGGTCACTTGACACCCCTCCTCTTTTCACAGACATTGATGAATGTGCTGAAGGACACCACTATTGCCGGGAGAACACCATGTGTGTCAACATACCAGGTTCTTTCATGTGCATCTGCAAAGCAGGATACCTAAGAATTGATGATTATTCATGTACGGGTAAGAGATTTTTATTTACAAAACAAAAACAAACATGATACATTTCATATACTTTCAAAGAAAAAAAATGCCTATTTCAATCAAGCAGTAAACATTTCTTAAGTATCTACTTAAGTGACACCTCTAGTGTCAGATACTATGCTAGGTATTCAGAATACAAAGACAAAAATGAAATAGTCATTTTTCTTAAGGTACTTACAATCCCTCAGGGGAGACATAATTTCTCATTTTTAAATAAAACCTAGAGACTCTAGATCAAAACTTTTTCATATCTGATTGGGAAGTACTGTCTATTTTTTTCTGGACATTCATGAAGAGATGAGATGAAACTGTTTGTTGTAAACTACACACCTTAAAAATACAACATGATAACAGTTTAGAATACATAGGTAAATGTATTACATTCCTTATTTTTAAGTTATCCTTGATATGTCTTTTAATATTTTTCACAGTGGCATATGTATCATATTGAATATCTTGTGATTTTGCTTTAAGAGAAGGAATAGCAAATTTTATATGAGTTCGGTTGCTGATTTATGTTTTAGCCAAATTGCAAAACTTGAAAGATGAATAGAAGAAAGTAAAGGCAAAATTTAAAAAAAAAGTAACCTGTGGGGTAAGGCTTAAGCTTAAAGCTTAAGAAAGGGCTTATGCAGAATGCGAAGCCTGAGTTAAACTTTGAAAGAAACAAGGGATACAAAAATGTAAAGGTGAACTTTCTAGGAATAGAAGACAGATGAAAACAGGATGTCATTCTTGACAAGATTTGGCTACTAATTGAATGAAGAATTTAATGACTCTCAGGTTGTGAAATGAAGTGACTGGAAGGATAGTGATGCCATTGATAGAAAGAGTTTAGTTCACATTTTGTGGAGAAGATAATGAGTTCTACTTTGGATGGCTTTCATGCTTCTTATTTAGGAAAAGTAAGAAAAGTTAGAGAAATAAAACAGTATGATGTAAAACATGATTTGTCATGAAGCCCAAGACAACATAAATAAAGAAGTCAGAGGTGCATTTTAGTGATAGAATGGTAGTTTTTTTTCAAGAGCTAATGACCTAATAAAAGAAAAAAAATATGTTCCCCAAAATCCAACAAGACAGTATAAACCTGGCCTGGAGATGGAGATAAGAAAAAAAAGTCTTAGCACTTCTATGAACAAGAGTTTGGCTGTTATATAAAAAATCAAGTCTTCTCCAAATTTGTTCTCTTGTTCTTGTTTCTATCACAAGGTTTATTGCTAAAGTCTAGAATTAGTGATGTGCTGGTGAATGTTTAACAACAGGCTTTCTGGGGACAAGTATGCATATGTACATGCATAAGTTTATTATAAATATTACTCACCCAAAAGACATGTAGCACATAATTTACAAATAACAAAGTATACAATACTCTTTATTTCATGTAGCCAATTGATTTTCTTTTTTTTTTTTTTAAGGCAATTGGGGTTAAGTGACTTGCCCAGGGTCACACAGCTAGTGTCATGTGTTTGGTCTGAGGCCGGATTTGAACTCAGGTCCTCCTGACTTCAGGGCTGGTGCTCTATCCACTACGCCACCTAGCTGCCCCTTGCCAATTGATTTTCAAAGAATGCTTTCACTGATTTTTGCCAAAAAAGATATCTGTAGTCAACCTATGTTTTCAATTCAAATGTAATTTGACATATGGAACTGCATCTCAGTCTGACAAATTTTTCCCAATAAATTTGTCATTAAATCTGATATGTGATCTGCTATAGGTGTTCTATTTCTCATCCTCATACAAATTATATTAGTAAAAAGCCTCTTTCAGCTCTAGCACTACTGATATCACTAATAATACCTTTTTAGCTTTTTGCATAGTTGCAGAGATTAGAACATTGCTTGATTCTACATTCTTTTCTACAAAATCCTGAAAATCATTCAAATCAATTTCGTGTTTTAAAATTTCATTTAATGATACATTTTTTCTCTAGTTATACATGGTGAAGTTAGCTCTTCATAAGGCCAAATAGATCATTGTAATAAATCAAAATAATTTAAACTGATTTCATTCTTGTTTCTGTCTGATGAAAGCTGTAAGTTCATGTGCTGAATTATGTTTTCTATAAAATATTCCTAAGAAAAACATTAAATGTATCATTGTATTAAGTTGAATATTTTTTAATTTATCTGATAATCAAATATTCAACTTGAGCTTCATGCTTTCTAGTCCCAGTGTTTAAATTGACCAAATCTCTGATGATATGTTTGCATAATTATTGTGTTTCTGAATATTAGTTAATTTCAAAAGCAATGAAGTTGAAAGTAAAGAAAAATTGTCAGGAATGCTAACCATTGAAGCAAGATCTTGCTAGAAATAAATGTTAGCTAATTTCTTTGGCAAACCTGAATATGACAAAGAATGAGAAAAATGCAGGATACACATGCCATACAACAGTACAACAGTAGTAACTAGTAAACTACATGCCACGCATATGGATCCCAAGACTCTATCAATATTTAATAATTTTAATTTTGATTTCTTTAGCTACAGTTTCTAGCCTGGTTTGATTTTTGAAGAGACTGGATTTTAAAATATTTCTAACAACCCAGCTACTCCAGATTTTCTTCCCAGCATTGTATTAGCAAAAAATGCAATGAAGTCTGTTTTCAAAATTTATTATTAAAACCAGAATCATTTAAAGTTGACTGTAATGTATTGAAAATGCATTCGGCTGTGGATGGCATCACTTTTTTTTAACTTTTTTTTTTAACCTCAAACTTAACTTTATTATTTTATACATAATTAAAACTCCATAAAATAAAAATTCCTTACAGAATCTGTAACCAGCCTAACCTTCCACTTTGGCTGCAATCTTGGGGATTTTTAAAAAATATTCCCTATTTAGAGAATTACAACATTGGAGAGAGTGCTAAAATTTAGTAGCATACAAAGAGTAATTCTTTGATTTCATAATAATACTGACAGATTAGGGGCAGTTAGGTGGTGCAGTGGATAGAGCACTGGCCCTGAGGACAGGAGGACCTGAGTTCAAATCCGGCCTCAGACCAAATACTTGACACTTACTAGCTGTGTGACCCTAGGCAAGTCACTTAAAAGCAAATAATAGTAATAATAATACTGACAGATTAGAGTCTACTTAGTTCTTCTAACCAACCACTTTGTTTTCTTTCACAAATAGAACCATTAGGCAGGACAGTGGTTTGTTTTTTTTTTTTTTTATCATGTCTTGACATTTTAATAGTATTTTTCCAATTACATGCAAAGACAGTTTTTAGCATTTTTACAAGACTTTGAGTTTCAAATTTTTCTTCCTCCCTTCCCTCCCCTCTTCCTACAATGGTAAGCAATTTGATATAGGTTATATCTGTGCAATCATGTAAAACATATTTCCATATTAGTCACAGTTGTGAAAGAAGAAACAGATGACAAGGGAAAAAACATGAAAGATATAAAGAAAATAAAAATAATGTGCTTTGGTCTGCATTCAGAATGCATCAATTCTTTCTCTGGATGTGCATAGCATTTTCCATCATGAGTCCTTTGTAACTGTCTTACATCATTATATTGCTGAGAAGAACTCAGATGATCATGGTTGATCATCACACAATGTTGCTATTATAGTGTACAATCTTTCCTGGTTCTGCTCGTTTCACTTTACATTAGTTGATACAAGTCGTCCCAGGTTTTTCTGAAATCTGGATGACATCAATTCTTAGTGGTACAGTTGATTGAACTACTCAATCTAGATAATCATTAGGGTGCTTTTCTTGAAAATTGTAGATGCCTCATCAATTATGATATAGATTTTTGTATTCTCTTCTATGATATTCTTAAATCTCTTTATCTTAATTTCTTTTGTGATTTTCTCTGCTATTCTTGTTTCACTGTGTTGTCTATGTGAAGAATTGCCTACATCTGCTGCATTTTTCTCTTGTAATTCTATTGTCCCTCAGTGTCAGTAAAAGGACTATTTTGTTTTACTAAACTGCAAACAGCATTGAAAGTTTTAAGGTAGCATCAATATTTTTATTATTTAGTTAATTCACTAAATTGGAAATTGACTCATTAGCCAATTTTCTTAAGAAATCTTGAATTTAGTATAGGCTGTAGAAACTTCCCTACATGTTCCATATTTTTCAAAGAGAAGCATGCCGATGCTGTCATTTGGTTACTAAATACATACTGCATTGCTTGGACACATGGGCATGGTTTTCTGCTTTCACTCCTTAATACTGAATTGTTAGACAATTTTTGCATCCCAATCAGCTTTCTTTTATTTCAAGTCTATTGTACTGTTCTATAAATATAATTGCTTGTTTTTCATTCCAACAGTTCAGAAGTATGAGATTAGCTATATCTTCCTTTGAGAAACATGACACCTTTTGTTTAATGATTGGTTATTCAACAGATTCCAAGTTTGGTTATGTTGGCTTTGACACTTCACAATGATTTTTGTCCCTATCATTATTTTCTGTGTTTGTTTTCACCTTCTTCACACTTAAAGAAAGCTTAATAGATCACTGTTGTGTTGGTATTTTCAGGATCAGAATCTGATAAATAATTTTACTTTTTGATGCTAAAATTCACAGTACCACTTGAGGATATTAAAATAACATGAATATTTTCATAATTTTTGGCTATTCATGATGTAACAGTTACAGACATGACAAATATTTAAGTTTAATCTGCATTATTAATATATTCACTTCACATTATTACCATATTATTATAACACATTATTAACATATTCACCCACAAATAAACAAAACAATAAATTAAACCCTGACTTCTAACACTTGATAATTCCTGTGATGTAAATACTCCCACCATGGCAGATTTCAAGCTGCTAGTGTGACGTCAGTGTGAGTGAGGAAGGCATGTGGAGTAACACAGCATTATATAGTATTTCCACCAAATAGATACAGTGGATGTGAATAACCTTGAGAACATAGATAATAGGAAAGTATAGTAAAATAATTAGAAAATGGTGAGTTTTAAATATTTGTTACCGTTA